TATGATGAAGACATAATCTTTCAATCAGTTTAATTGAAGTCTGGAGCTGGCATGTCAGTTAACTGCTAGTAGTCTGTTGTTATTTATGTATTATTGTCATTTTGTTTATTTTCTTTGGTTACATCTTCTGACATCAGACTCGGACTTCTCTTGAACTGAATTTTAATGTGCGTATTGTTATGCGTTTACTTTTCTACATTGGCTAGAGGTATAGGGGGAGGGTTGAGATCTCATAAACATGTTTAACCCCGCCGCATTTTTGCGCCTGTCCCAAGTCAGGAGCCTCTAGCCTTTGTTAGTCTTGTATTATTTTTAATTTTAGTTTCTTGTGTACAATTTGGAGTTTAGTATGGCGTTCATTATCACTGAACTAGTATATATATTTGTTTAGGGGCCAGCTGAAGGACGCCTCCGGGTGCGGGAATTTCTCGCTGCATTGGTGGCCTTCTGCTGTTGTCTGTTCTGTGGTCGGGTTGTTGTCTCTTTGACACATTCCCCATTTCCATTCTCAATTTTATCATAAGATAGCTTTATTTACACTGATTCCAAAAATATATGGTTTTGATATACCTTTGCCGGAAATAAGAGAAATTATTTGCTACTTCGGTTTACAGAAGATGAGGTCCGGTCTAATGAAAGGTTTATCCTCTTTTCATGACAAATATGTAGTTGTTCCAGCAGATAAAGCCTCCAATAATATTTTTTTCATATTTTCATATGCAAAAACGATTATTTGTAATGTCTCAAATAAAGATTAGAATAAACAGCAAAACGGTAATCCTACATATTCATTAACATCATTTGAAAAGGATGAAATTTTAGACAATCACAAATCAGTTCTTTTTTCTTTTGGTATTAACATCAAAGAAAACGAAGAATATCTACCGTCATTATACTGGATATAAAAACTTCACAAAACTCCTTATAAAGAACGGTACAAAGCTGGATCACTAAAACATCTTTCAAAAGTGCTGACTACTATATCTTTCTACAGTAAGAGATGGCCTTTCGAAATATTGTGATGAGATATATTCAACCAGTGATGTCAATCAGATGTGGATTCTTAAAAATTCTTAAGATCTACTGCTAAATCTTAGATCACAATCTCTGCAATTTTGCAGCAACATTAAGACCTTTGATTTTTCACTATTATTCCCCATGCTCAACTGAAAGATCGACTTCACTATCTCATTAAACAGGGCCTTTTTCTATAAAATTAGGAATAGTAGTTATAAATTTCTTGTTTTGGGTTATAATAATTCTTATTTTGTGAAGAACTACACTGAATCTATTAGAAAATACACTGAAGATGATATTATCAAAATGCTGGACTTTTTGATCGACTATATATTTGTTATATTTGGAGGAATAATATTTCAACAGACAGTCGGTATTCCAAAGGGTACTAATTGTGCACCTCTACTAGCCGATTTTGTGTTGTATTCGTATGAAGCAGAAGTCATTCAGAGCCTTCTAAAAGAGAAAAAAAAGCACCTTGCGAAATCTTCTTTCAGATGTATTTATGATGTCCTATCACTGAATAACTTATATTTCAGTCAGTTCTTGCATCTCATATATCCCATTGAACTTGAAATTAAGGATACTACTGATGCTAGAAAGACTGCTTCATACCTTGATCTTTTTCTCAATATTGACAAAGAATGACGACTTCAGACTAAAATCCATGACAAACGGGATGATTTCAACTTCCCAATTATCAATTTCCCGGTAACATACCCACTGTCCCGTCGTATGGTGTTTATATATCTCAATTGATACGTTATGCTCGTGCGTGTTCACACTATACGGACTTCATATACAGGAGTGTGTTACCTACGCAGAAACTGCTCCAATAAAGTTATTAGGAGGACAGATTAAAAATAATACTCCGTAAATGGTATGGACCCCATCACAAATTGGTTGATCTTTACGATGTGTCTGTGTTTAAACTTACTAACGACATTTTTACCAAGTCTTAGATTGTGGTTTATCATCTACGTCGTCTGGTCTGCTTAGTATCGAACGTGACCTATTCCCGAATATGACTGTTTTGCCGAGTGTAAATTCGCATTCTTATACGACGTGTCTCGGTATTTATATTTCCAACATTCATGTATTTAGTTATGATGTTTCTTGAGTCCGGTTGAATATTTTGTTATGTCTTATGTTGTTCGTTGTTGTAGACTATGTGGTTCGGTATTTATATATCCTGCATTCGGGCATTTTGTTGTAACTTTCTTATACGTATGGGTCCGATGGGTCATTTTGTGCTGAGTTGTTGTCTGTTTATTTCGTTTGTGGTTTGAATTCGGTATTTTCGGTACATTTCACATATGTCTTATTTGTAAGTATAGTCGAGTTACTCGTGGTTTGTCTACGGGGTTTTTGTTTTAAGTTGTTTCTTTCATGTGTGTTTACTGTTTGGTCTTATATAATCTTGCCTTATATTACAGCTATTTCAATTTCATTTTCTTTATGTATATAAAACTTAAGATACAAAATCAGCTACTTCAACTACTAGTATATGATTTTAAGTTTAAAGCAACTTTATGCACAGGATTTTTTTATACAGGTTTGATTAAGAAGAAAAACCGACATGGCTAGAAAATACTAATAATAACACCATGACGAACATAATTCCGTTTTTATATTCTTGTCATGGTTAGAAAATACATAAAATAACACTATTACAAACTCAATCCCAATTTAATATTCTTGTACGTGTCTATAAATAAAATAAATCTGTTTTGAAGGTTATAAGCCTCCAAACCTAATGCAAAAAATCCTTTCCTGGCTTTATCATTTATCAGTATAAAGTTATTGCAAAGGTAAAAATCTAGAACGTCAAATTCTCATTTGACCTTGACCTCAATTTCAAGGCCATAAAGAGAGGATCTCAAACTAACTATGGTTCATGATTTTCATCGCCATACAACTTATTTTAAACTTTCTAGTGGAGAAAACTCTTATTAAAAGGAACGGTACTCTTTCGACGAAAATTTTCAAGTAACGACATGTCGCAACGAACAATTTGATAAAATAGTCATTATTCATTACGGTTTAATGACTTTCAACTTTGTTACAGGAGCACAGATTTGTATTTCAATGCATATTTAAAACCAATGTTAACAATTTCTCAGTGCAGGTCAGGATGTCAAGCTAACCGCATATGTATTTATAGTGCGAACGGGACTTTATTTTCTTATTCTTTTACAGATTAACTGATGTATAGTCACTGACAACGAGTCTTTATTCATTGCATGCATAACAATATGATGTTATTATAGTAATTGAACAGAACGTTAATCGATTTCTTTCAGAACATACATAAATTGAAGCAGAGTTTTCCAGACATGGGTATATTCCAGCAGTCTGTACATAAATTTGATTGCATTTTTACAATTAAATCTATGGGACTGAAGGCGATGATTTTCATTTCATAATGATTCCTCAAAGACATCATAAAAGGGGGAGGGTCGAGATGCGATGTGGTAGACCCTAGTTGATTAATTGAGATAAGATGCATGTACATCATGATACATGTAACTGCAAAGTTTGAAGTTATAACTAATTAATTTGTTGATTCAGGGGCATTGAAACCCCTAGGACAATGACGCGTATCATTTTAACAAATGTTTTCAGTTATGTCATGTCGCAACTTTCATTTTGAATATTTTGTTTTTGTCGATATCTATAACTCTTTCTGAGTAGAAGCGATATGCAGTGAATGTCAAAATTTAGAACATGACCATGACCTATGACCTTGACCTTATGACCCAAGGACCTCAGATACAAAGTATCTAGATTTATATGGCTTACAGTTTGTGACTTACAAAAAAAACGAGAAATGAACTGTAAATTCTACTTTCGTTTTTGACTCAAAAACCAAACAATACTGACTACTGTATAATCCTTTCTGGTGGAATATCATAATTACAATTTCCAAAACAAGTTGTGTTCTTTATATATTCGCCGAGATTGCGATACAGTCAGGCTCAGCACAGTCAATTGACAACAACTTGTCTACACATCTCCTGATCAGGAAGTACAACGGAGCATCGTTCGTAGGTAGCTGTTACCTCGACACTAAGCAACACAGCTTGTGTGTCCTAAGCAGCAAACCAACAATGTTGAACCAACTTTGCCTACAGTTAGTTGATTTACATCATGGATCCGAGTCACGTGGAACAGCAAGACGAGGTTCAACCCCCAGAGGGAGACGTCTTTAAAGAACAAATAGAGAATCCGTATACTACAACACCATTGGATGAAAATGCCGAGACTATGCGAGTACGTGAACTTACCGAAAAGGGACAGGGAGCTTTTACAGAGAAACGTGACAAGCTTTATCATGACTTAGAGGCCCTATGGTTAGACCTAGAATCCCAGTTATTGGAAACGACCATTGCTAACAGCACAAGATAAAATTGTACAAGCCTGTACTAATTATCGCAGGCTCACAGACGAGTACTTGAAATTTCTTTAAAATACAAGAACGCTAGACAGCCTTAAAGACATTGATACGTGTAAACTTTCAACAGATATCCGAATGTCTAAAGTTGACCTGGCAATTGGAACCTTACACGAGCATCGCCTCACCCTGACAAAGGCTAAATCTACAAAAACCAAGACATCTAAGGGCAATAAAACCTCGCACAGTGGGAGCGCCAACGGCAAGTTTTGCACGGATGAAGCGTGCCAAAGCAGAGGCTGCCAGATCTCAGATAGCCTTTGCTGAAAAACAGGCCTTGTTACTAAAGCAGGAGGCAATGTTAGAAGAACAGACTCTTTTCAAGCAAAATGAAATAAAGGCCGAAGTGGAACAAGAAGCTATCAGAGAAGAACAAGAAGTCATTAAAGCAGATCAAGAAGCCGCAAGTAGAAAAGCGGAGACCGCACACATGAAAGCTGAAATGAAACGTGAGGCCGTACGCAGGAATACTATGATGGAACAAGAGGCTGCACGTGCAATCTGGCAAAAAGCGGAAATTAAGGCTTCTATGAACATTCTAGAAGCACAAAGAGAAGCTGCAGCCGCAGGAGCAGAGGCACGTATCTTAGAATACGACGACAGTCAAGTGTTATGCGACCTTCATAACGAGACTGAAGACCCGCTCCATTGTGTGCAAGACTTTGTTAATAAACATCCTAAACCAACTGCCATACAGGAAGTGACAGCCCCTCAACAGAAAAAACAAACTCCTGTTAAGATTGAGCTAAGTCATGAAGCGCCAGACTTCGTGCCCTCCGTGGCATTGAACCTGCCATCACAGACACCTACGGTCTTGCCTACACATGCTAAGTCACCGGAAGTTAATGTATTCCCAGATCTGGGAACAATAACTGGCATAGAAAAACAGGGCGTTTCAGAAAAGATCCCTGTTGCATACCAAAAACTAGGCGTTTCAGAGGAGATCCTTGCTGAAAACCAAAAACAGGGTGTTGCAGGAGAGATCCCTGTGATTTCACAAGGATAACCAGGACAAAGTTATCCGTATGTACGCCATCATTGATGACAAAAGTAACCGGTCACTAGCATCACCCGAATTCTTCACTCTTTTCGACGTAAAAGATAAACCGGAGAACTATACCTTATCAACATGCTCTGGCAGAGTAGTCACTTCCGGGAAAAGAGGAAGAGGTTTCATCATAGAATCAATAAATGGTAATGACAAATTCGACCTGCCTGTACTTGGAGATTGTGATCATATTCCTAATAATAGGGAAATTCCTACTCCTGAAGTCACAATGCATCACCCTCATTTAAAAAAGCTCAGATGAAGCATTCCACCAATAGAGGAACATTGCCAAATTCTTCTCTTAATTTGCAGAGACGTTACAGAGGCACACCACGTCCTTGACCAGCGCATAGGACCATCCAGAACTCCATATGCACAGCAATTGAAACTGGGTTGGGTAGTGATAGGAGAGACTTGCATTAACAAGCAGCACGTCCCTTATGAATTAAACGTCAAAATTACCACCATTTTGCCTTCAGGACAACCGTCAACGTTTCAACCATGCACAAGCACGTTTGACATCCGGGAAAATTACACAGACCCTGTGTAGAAAGATTTACAATCTGCACTCTTCGAAAAAACGACGGACGATGATAGGCCTGGAATTTCATACGAAGACAAAATGTTCATGAAGCAGATAGACAACGAATTTGTGAGGGACTCGGAAGGAAGTTGGGTAGCACCGTGTGCGTTTCGAGTGCTAAGAAAGTCATTGCCAAGCAACAGATCACAAGCTCTTCATCGTGCTAATATGTTAGACGCCAGTCTCAGTAGAAACCCAGTAAAACGGGAACACTTTCTCACATTCATGAGTAAGATTCTAGACAATAATCATGCAAAGCTCGCTCCACCGTTAGACGACCAAGAAGAGTGCTGGTATTTACCATTGTTTGGTGTCTATCACCCGAAGAAACCCGATTAGATTAGGGGTGTGTTTGATTCTTCCGAAAAATGTAACGGAGTCTCACTTAACAGCGTCCTGCTTACAGGTCCCGACTTGACCAATGGGACTTGGGAGTACTGCTGCGTTTCAGGAAAGAAATGGTCGCAGTAACTGCAGACGTTCAACACATGTTTCACTGTTTTGTAGTCAGAAAAGACCACCGAAATTATCTGAGATTTTTATGGCATAAAGACAACGACCTACAAGAGAATCTCGTCGAATACCGCATGAGAGTTCATGCATCAGAACAAGAGTTCACGTGACGAGCTTTGTTACAAGAGACTTCAATGTTGACGACGGTCTTACGTTATGACCTACAAAAGAGGAAGCTGTTAAGCTCATGAAGGACACACAGCAAGCATTAGCAAAATATGGAAACTTACGCCTTCACAAATTCGCCTCAAATTTGCGGTGATATGTCTGCATTTCATGCCAGTGATTTGGCTTCAAATCTTAAGGATCTAGACTTATAATCCGACAGCAAACCCCTATAACGTAGTCTTGGACTCAGCTGGGACGTAAACACTGACAACTTCTTTTCAATTGTCATAAAAAAACAAACCGATCACTCGGAGAGGAGTTTTATCAACAATTAACAGTATCTACGATCCTCTTGGGTTTTGGCTCCGGTGATTATACAAGGGAAACTCCTATTAAATAAAATAGTATCAGAAACTGTCGATTGGGACCAACCTTTCTCTGATGAGGCAGCAACTGAATGGAAATCTTGGAGAGATATTCTTATTGCCATTGAAACATTGCGCATTCACGTACCTACGTGCCGTATCTCAGCAAAACCACCACAAAGAAGTTACATTTCTTCTCTGATGCGTCAGAAACAGCAATAGCAGCTGTTGCATATCTGCGCATGACCGACAGTAGTGGTGAACCAAACATTGGGTTCATTCTTTGGAAGGCTAAAGTTGCACCAACAAGTGGTCATACTATTTCACGTTCTGAACTTTCTGCTGCCGTATTAGCAGTTGAGATCACACAAACCATCGTGGATGATTTAGATTTACACATAGACACCGTGAAATTCTACACAGACAGTAAAGTCGTCTTAGGTTACATCAGTAACGAGACAAGAAGGTTCTTTATCTACGTCGCCAATAGAGTGGAGAAAATACGGAAATTTAGCTCTCCAAATCAATGGAATTATGTACCAACTAACCGGAATCCCGCAGATTCGGGAACAAGGTTCGTACCAGCCCACGCAATTCATAGCAGTGAATGGTTATTGGGACCGAGTGAACTTCTTTCCTCGGAACAGAAAAATTCCGAGGACATATATCAGCTAATAGATTCTGAGGAAGATGGAGAAATCCGTGCAACTGTTCATGTTGCAAAAACATTAGCCACACCTGAGCATAAAGGTATCGGAACTGATAGATTCAACCGATTCTCCAACTGGACATCACTTGTGCGAGCGAAAGCCTTTTTGGAACGTTTCTCCCGTTTCCACGGGTCAAAACAGGCAGCATCAGGAGCTTCTCTGGAAAGTTTTTCGAATGCCGAAAATTTCATCTTAATATCTGCACAACATGAAGTTTACGGAGATGAAATAGATTGCATTAAACGTCAGGAACAAATTCTTAAGCGGAGCCCGATAGCTAATATCAATCCTTTTTTGGACGACCGAGGTCTATTACGAGTAGGAGGCCGTATTGTTAAATCTGACTTAAACCTCCGTGAAAAGACACCATTGATCGTCCCTGGACGCCATCATATAGCGACATTATTAGTCCGACACTACCATGACATGATCAAACATCAAGGTCGCCACTTCACAGATGGAGCGATTCGATCCGCAGGATTCTAGATCGTCGGAGCTAAACGCTTGATCTCTTCTATTATACACAAATGTGTGACATGCCGCAAACTAAGAGGAAAAACCGAGTGTCAAATCATGTCTGATTTACCAGAGGACCGTCTTGAACCATCACCTCCGTTCACTAACGTTGGAATCGACACCTTTGGACCATTGACAATTGTTTCACGTAAAACCCGTGGTGGATACGTCAACTCCAAACGTTGGGCAATTCTATTCACCTGCTTAGTGACGAGAGCTATTCACATCGAACTCATTGAGGAAATGAGCTCTTCCGTATCTATAAACGCTGTCAGAAGATTCACAGCCATAAGAGGCCAAGTCAAGATCTTCCGATCCGACCGTGGAACTAACTTTATTTGGGCAATCGACGACTTGAAAACCGACTCAGTCAACGTTGAGGACGGACGCCTTAAGAACTTTCTGTACAATTCCGGTACAACTTGGATCTTCAATCCGCCGCATTCGTCCCACATGGGTGGAGCCTGGGAAAGAATGATTGGTATCGTTAGCAGAATACTTGATTCTATGCTTTTAAATGCTGCCGGAAGGAGCCTAACGCATGACGTGCTCAATACGTTAATGGCAGAAGTTTCAGCAATAGTGAACTCTAGACCTCTGGTACCGGTATCGACAGATCCAGAGAATCCGTTAATCTTAACTCCAATTATGTTATTGACACAAAAGACTGATTACATTTACACTTCAGATCAGCTTGGGGAATTCGACAAACGTGATCTATGTCTAGCCGAAGGGAGACGTGCACAGGCTCTGGCCAGTGTTTTCTGGTCCCGTTGGAGGAAGAGTATCTGCCGCTACTTCAACCACGACGAAAATGGACCGAAGATCGCCGTGATCTCATCGAAGGAGACGTCATTCTTCTAAAAGACAAATGCCTTTGCCGTACCCAATGGCCCATAGGAGTAATAGTAAACTCACTTAAAAGTTCCGACGAACATGTCAGGAAAGCAGTACGATTTCCTACATCACCGTTTTTATTGTATTACGTGACTGCCTTTAATTTCTGTGACACCGTCCGCTCCAGTATCCCAACACATGTAATGTGGACGACATTTAACCTTCTGAGGAAATCGAGACATACCACTGTCAAGTACGTTTGATTCATTCATAAACTGTGATAATTAGATATGATTAACTTAATTTGGATAGTGATTTAGTAAATGCATACGAACTGTAAGTTATTTATATCCGAGAAATGAACTGTAAATTCTACTTTCGTTTTGACTCGACTATTAATATTGCATTTAACGTTCATATTTCATTCGTACACATTGTAAAATATTGTATTTTTATTTCTTTCAGTTTACCAAACAATACTGACTACTGTATAATCCTTTCTAATGGAATATCATAATTACAATCTCCAAAACAAGTTGTGTTCTTTATATATTCGCCGAGATTGCGATACTGTCACCTGGTTAAACTAGCTGAGTCAGGCTCAGCATAAAAACAGTGTTTGGGGAAATAACTTTTACAATAAAAAGTGTTCGGTGAACGGGGAGATTTCCATAAGTGCTATAAATGTTTGATATCATATGCAAAAAATTAACCGACATCTTAGTTTAAAAAGTAAAATAACAAAAATACCGAACTTCAAATGATATTCAAAACGGAAAATTGTCTGGTTTTAAAGCTAGCTAACCTCCCACTTGTATGACAGTCGCATAGAATTCCATTATATTGACAACAATTTATGAGCATATCAAACAGACATGGAGGGTTGTCTCATTGGCACTCATACCACATCTTCTTATATCTATATAATAGGTAAAACGTCAAAAATTGGGGTACAGCAGTCAATATTGTATTATAATCTTAATCACTATAAAACCAAATAACTGTTTCAACAAAGAAACACAAAATGGCAGATAGACAAAGTACATATTAAGCACAAATGAAAGACAAAAACTCAAAATTTACCATAGCACAATAACAAAACGGCGAGATGTATAAGTACCAATCCACTTCATATATAAGTATATAATCGAAAATAGATAAACAGTGAAGGTTAAAAATATAAAAGGACAAAAAAAAGTAACTTTAACACGTAATTAAGATGACAAGGAACATCAATACCCAGAATCAGAGTATTTATCAACAAAGTCTCGGTATTTTCCAATGAACT